TGGGGCAGGGAAAAAGACGACACCCAGTAAAACATCACCACTCCAGGGTTGCCAACCTTCAGGTGGTCTCTGGAGATCTCCTGAGATTACAACTGATGTCCAGGCGATAGGCTTGTCAAGTCCCCCCGGGAGGCAGGATCGGGCCCCAGGAACCCCACCCCGGCGTGCGCGTCACCAGGAAGTGACGTTATGATGATGGGCACGCTGGGGGAGGGGCCACGGTCATCCAGCCATGGTCATCCAGCTCCAGCTGCAGACCGGGAGTCCCCCGATAAGGAGATTTTTCAACTTGGCAACCCTACCAGGTGACAGAGATCAGTTCTCCTGGAGAAAATGGCTGCTTTGGAAGTTGGACTGTATAGCATTGTGCCTCAAAGCCCACCCCCCCTTAGGCTCCACCCCCCCTCAGGCTCTACCCCCCCCAAATCTCCAGGCTGTCCCATAGGGCTGCCAAGTTCTACCTTGGCTGCAGCAGGGGGAGTCCCAGCCCTCCCCAGGAGTTCTTTGGCGTGCGTGCTTTGTGCGCGCCCCGCAATGACGTCACCCAGAGGTGACGTCATCGCATCAGGCACATTGGGGGGGGGGCACTATCATTCGAGGGGAAACCATAGAGTGCTCCCGGGACTTTGGGGGTGGGGTTCCCCCCGGTGGCCCGATCTGGGCCGGCAGTGAACGGACCCATCGAGTGGGGGTTTCCCCCCCCCCGGGGACCTGGCAACCCTACTTTCCCCAACCCAGAGCTGACAACCCTAGGCATTTAATATTCTTCACAGAGGTGGGAAAAAAGAAAGTACTCAGATTGTTGAAGAGTTGGCCTTGGTAAGAATGCTGTGTGTGTGTGTGAGTGTGAAGTACTGTCAAGTCACAGCCGAGCCAGTGTTCCCTCTAAGCTGAGTTAGTGTGAGCTAGCTCACAGTTTTTTAGCCTCCAGCTCACACATTTCTGTCTTCGCTCAGGAAGGGATGGCTCCAGAGCAAACTAACTGATGCAGTAGCCAAATCGCCCGCTCACAGCTTTAATGCCAGCAGCTCACAAAGTAGAATTTTTGCTCACAAGACTCCACAGCTTAGAGGGAACGTTGCGGCGCTGACCTGTGTCTCAAGCACGGCACAGTCCAATTGCCAGAGCAGGGGTGGCCGGTCCCCCATGGCCAGAAAGAGCTGCATTAGAGTCTCCCTTCATCCGTTTGGCACCAGAGATGTGAGAGGGTTTTGCAAATGAAATCTGCCACACAGGGATGCCAGCCTCCAGGTGGGGGCTGGGGATCCCCTGGAATTACAGCTCACCTCCAGACTACAGAGATCAGCTCGTCTGGAGGAAATGGAGGCTCTGGGAGGAGTGGACTCTGTGGCAGTGCACCCCACTGAGGCCCCTGTCCTCTCCAGGCTCCACCCTCAAATCTCCAGGAGTTTCCCAACCTGGAGCTGGCAACCCTACCCCCCCATCCCCTGCCTGTGTCCAGGAGGGACCTGGCAACCCTATAGAAGAAAAGGTGGGGGAGGCAGGACTCCTGCCTTGTCTACTGTGGAATTCTCTGTCCAAGCGCCCCCTCCCTCCCCCTCACTCCCTCTCTCTTCCTCTCGGCTTTAAAGCACATTTTAAAAATTCATAAAGCCGTTGAGGGTGCTGGCTACTATAGTTTTTTTGATTGGTGGTTTTAATTGGATACCTTAATGGTTTTAAATGGGACTGAGTGCATTTGCCCGCTGCTTTATGTAATCGGCTCTGGTGGGGCCCTTGTGGATCGCAAAGCAGGGGTAGAAATTAAGTAAGTAAATGCCCCAACTGTGGAATTTCTTACAGAGCCAAATATTTTTTAGTGGCAAAGGTCTAACTAGGCTCCAGAGCTGAGGGCCACAGACACCGTTTGGGGGATCTGCAAAACTCTAAGCAGACTCCAAAGCTGACAGCCATGAAGACCATTTGGGGTTCATAACGTTTTAAGCGGCGCCCATACATGAGAGCCACAGACGTCATTTTGAGGGTCAGAAAAGCCTAATTGGACTCTAGAGCAGGGGGCCACTGATGCCATTTTAGGGCTCAAAAAGGCCTAACTAGACTACAGAGCTGAGGACCACTGATGCTATTCGGGGCTCACAAACTGGATTCCAGAGCTACGTACCACGGACACTGTTTTGGGCCTTGCAAAGGCCTAACTGGACTCCAGAGCTGAGGGCTGCTGATGCCATTTTGGGGTTCCTAAAAGCCTAAGTGGATTCCAGAGCTTAGGGCCAACAATGTAATTTTGGGACTCACAAAAGCTTAACTCAGGGGTGTCGAACTCATTTGTTATTACGGCTGGATCTGACATAAATGAGACCTTGTTGGGCTGGGCCATGTGTGTCATAAAATGTAATGCCAGGTAGCGGAGATATAAACTTTATAAAGGACACAAACACAATTAAAGATTTTTTTAAACTTAAAATAAAAACATGCTTAAAACATTAGCGCTCCTGCAATATTTTGTTTATTTAACAGTGTCTGATAACTGACACCTCTTGCTCTGAATTCTTGCATCAAAATGTCTGTGCTGTTGCAATCTTGAGTATGCTGT